CTCCCCGTCCCAGGACCGGAAGCGGAGCGGCGAAAGCGGCGAGCCGCCAGCGCGAAAAGGGGAACACGCGCGTCGAACGCGCGCCGAACGATGAGCGGATGTGATTTAATAACCCAGACACTCCATATATAACCGCTGAAACCAAGAACGATATGCCAGTCCCATGGAGTGTCTGGGTAATATAAACATCATTGTTTCGATGTCAACCACCAGCGTTTCAGCAGAAGAAACGCACCGGGTGCTCTTTCGGGTTATACTCCGAATCCACGGAACAGTCCCTCCGCGCGAAAGGTGGAGCAACACGTATACCGTATACCGTGTGCTGCTGGGCTGTTCCGAGAATCGCTGCAAGTCGGGTGAAAGGACGCCCCGTTTCGGACGGCGGACGCGGACGCTTCCTTTTCGAAAGACCTCGAAGAAGTGCCTTAAAGTAATAGTCTTTTACTGTAATTGCCTGGAGCTCAAGGAAGCCACTGAACAAGCAGCATGGTGGCCCGGTAGATCCTAACTGCATTGCAGGCTTTGATGGGGAAACAGAGTCGCCCTCGGCCTCGGCTTCGAGTGTGCAGCCTGATGCAGCCTGACATGGTCGAAAAAGCTGAAGTGGAAAGGGGCGATGATGGGTGTGTTCCACAACACTGCATGCATTGTGACAACACTGCGTCCTTCAGCAAGAACTCAGACACCCATCTTTGGACAGCCTATTGGCCGGAGGCTTTATAGCCACGGGACGCATCAATTCTTTGGTCAAGGGCCATACCATACCCATGAAGATGTGGATGGTTTCCTCTCTGAGTTGCTTCCGTCCTTGCGCAGGCATCCTTTCAACTCTGTGGCTGATGTGCTCAGAGAGGACTTGGCAAAGGAAGTTGAACGTTGAACATGCTGAGCTATGATTGCTTTTGAATCTGAACATTGGATTTATATACTGAACACATGTGAAAATGCTGAAATATGTTTTCTTTTTGGGCAGGTTCTGGGGAGACTTGTGGAGGAAGCTGTGCCTCGTGACTACAACGGATTCCTTGACTGGCTCAAAGTGAAGATCTATATACAACTGCTTCATGCCACGTGGCCAGGTGACTGTTCCACACTCACTTGTGTACAAGAGGCGCAGTGACTTGACATCAAGGGAGACAGGTCAACTGACAGAGAATGACCGTTCTGGCCATGACTGGGATGAAAAAGCGCATCAGTGATCGTGCCCACACATCTTGATCGGGTTGGGAGCTATGCAGATATTCCACTTTTGCCCTTGAAGGAGGTGAGTCATGACAGAGAGACATTAGAGAATTGGCTGTGATGTTGGAGGGCGCTCCATACAACAATATTGAAGGGCAGCGGCAGAAGCACTACGCAAAGAGGCATGGTGAAAGGACTGGCAGGATAAGAAGGAGTTCAGTTATTTTCCTGGAAGATCCTGACGTTATGCCTGTGCCTGGCATGCGTGCAAACGACTTATGGAAGTGAACAATTCTCACATCTACCAAATGTGTGCCACCCAATGTTGGCCAAGCTTGGATGACTATCAAGGGGTCTATCCAGGTTATAGAAACGGAAGCTGTGTTTTGCTTGTGTGTTGCTCTAATATTCCACTCACCGCGGGTAAACCTGAGGGATTCTTCGGGCCAACAAGATGCACTGATTTCACCAGCTGACGTGTCATACGCCAACAGGGCCGCGGTAGTAGTGGGGTCACCCAGTGCACATGGAGAGAAAGAACACTAAATAAGAGTCTAAGGGTCTGACAAAGAGGTGGACAAGAAAAAGAGAACAGACATGAAAGAATGGCCTGAAGGTCTGAAAGGTCTTTCGGCCACACATTTTCTCGTGCAGCACCGCACCCGCCTCCATGTGGTGACTGTGTGCCTTGCGAGCGTTGCACGTTGTGTCCCTGGATTCACTCATTCGTACCGCTGCACTCTTTGGACTGCTGCCCCTTTTCTTGCCCTCGGGCTGTGGCATGGCCTGCAGGTGTGTCGCATTTGTTTGCTTTGTCCCTTTGTCACGTGTGTTGATTTAGCTTCTTTTGCTGTTGCAGCAGGCAGCGTTTGTCAGTCGGATAGTCTGTCAATACATGTGCCCTGCCTTCTTCGACATCACCTCTCAGGGTGGGGATCATCTTGTTTGGGTTGCTTTTGGTGTTTCTTCTTGTTGGTTTGCTCTGGTGGGAGGCGCTGCGCCCTCCGGCCTCCGCCTCAACCACCCTCCAGCGCCACGAAATTTGCACTATCATTTCTTCCACTATCCTTTCGCTTGCCACGAAAAACTGAGCTATTGAATGTTGACCACGTTTCATTGCACCGGGATGCGCACCGACAACAAATACAACATTTGCACTATTTTTTTCCATGTAATGTACTTTGCCTGCTACGACAGCTGTTTCTCTTAAGTGTCAGCCCTGCTGCCCAAGGGCTCCTTTTAAAGGTCAGCTACCGCATTGCGCCCGCAACATTGCGTTTCCTCTTCACGCAGCCCCAAGGGCTTTAAACAAGAAATCCCACCCCAAGGGCGTGGAACAGCTAGCAGACTTTCTGCGCAGCTGTTTCAAAAGTCACGAGCCTGCTGTTGCCGCGCTACCTGGCACAGTGGGGGCACAACAGTTTTGCGGATGTCGAGTACCCACCAATGCAGCTCTAGACCACGACTTCCAGAGGATTGTAACTGACATCACAACCCTCCAACGTGCAATCTAATCAGAACGAAAATAGAAACAACTCAATATACTGAATAATTTTTGTTTTTTGTATGAAAACTTAACATCCATATATGGGTGATTGATCTACATTGCCCCTGTTTCATCCTTGGTCAACGACCCCAAACCCTGGGTTTGGTATGTATATTGTGTCCATTTTCTACAGGTGACACAACATGTCATTCATTGTTGCTGTGGTCGCAGCAAAATAATTCTGCATGTTGGTTTGGAACTGCAAAGTTAGGGTAAACCCCTCACCTTCCAAATTTGGATCATGCACCGGGCAGCACCGAGGCAAAACCAAGGTCCAGACATGGATTGTTTGGCATTGTTTACTTCTCCGTTACTTCACATCACATGGAAGTGGATGGCACACCCTCCTTCATAAAGGAAAGGGGCGTCTTCCTTTCGGGACGATGCCAATCCACCTAACCATGTCAGTCAGTCAGAGGGTACTTCTCCGTTACTTCTTGAAGTGTTCACTGCAAGGAGTTGTTGGATCAACGGGACACTTTGCAGGCGGACGAACCGACCTCTTGCGTTATGAGAAAACGGCGGTATGGACCGGAGGTGAATGGAGAACCAGGCCTTCTCAGAAGGGTGCTTTCGGTTAAAACCACTTGTGAAGCACAAAACAGTCTGTTCGAGGGTCCTGGTAAGGTGTAATCCACCCTCCTCACATAATCACGCCCATTTTCAGGCTTTGCAGGGCGCAAGGCGCAAACGAATATCCTGATCTGTGAGCACAGAGGGAGAGGATTCTTCTGGGGGGATGAGATTTGGGAAGTCCACCATGGTGTTCGATTGCTCGCTTTTGACCCATGTTCATTCCCACGATTCTGCTACAGCTGGTGCGCCTCGGCCGCCAAGGCTAGCCCGAACTGGGAGCTGCAGGGAGTTCCCCCAGCCCTGGCGAGTTCCCCCAGCCCTGGCGAGTTCCCCCAGCCCTGGCGAGTTGAATGCAGTGGGATGTGAGTAGATGAGTGGAACCTGATCTTGGCGGTTTCTTCGCTGTGAGGCCCAGCTTCAAGCGCAGCGGAAAGAGGCAGTGATGGGTCACACGGTCACACATGGGCCGGGCGTGGGCTCGGGTGCTGTGCGTGAGGCTCCCAATGGGTCTGGAGCTTCCAAATTCGGTTGCAAAACAGTGCCAACAGTTGTTTTCTGGGGTCAACAATCCCCCATTACAAGTCCAAAAACCTAGTACAGACTAGTAAAGCCTGGTATCCCTAGGGCTCCAACCAACCACCTCCGTTTCGAAGGTGGGCCAGGGGTGGGTGCCAGGGGCGTCTAACCACCGAACCTGAGGGTTTTGGGCCAGGAGCCCTAGGGTATATACAAAATGTAACATAGGCTGACCGGAACGCCGAGCGCCCGGGATGCGTGGGCGCCTGGAGTGTGGTGCATACGTACCTGCCATCACTTGCCCGGCTGCCTGTCATCCCTTCCATGATCGATCGCAGAATGCATATACCTAGGCCCCCGGGCCAGGGGTCTCTAATAGTAGCTTGATAGCTCCTTAGAGGTGATTCGGGGTGTCCATGAACCACCTCAAACAGGGGGCCCTGGTACTTGTTGTGTTGTGTTGTTCTTCGGAGCACAAGCAACATTTGTTGATTGCACACGTGGACTTTTTCGATCTATTGTTGGACGGACGGATGATCTTCGCGCCATGATCTTCGCGCCCCAAGTCTGTTGGGCATTGGCCAGCAAATTAGGTCATGTAAAACACATATCCCAGACACGACAGTTGGGGTGGTGCCAGGGGGGTCAATGGGGCGGCATATATGGCAGTCCCATGGGTCGTGTCTGGGTATTGTGTGCTGCTGGTTGAATAGGAACACCCGGAACGACTGGAGACCATTCTGACCATTGAGATTCGTGTTCGTGTTGTTTTCTTTTTTCGCACAGTATTTCTCCGAAGCTCCTACTCAGCTATGGAATCCCTCATGGCACGGATGAGTGACTGGGATGATTGGGAAACCCTGCAGAAAGCGTGAAAGCAAGCGCCAGGAGCGAAAGTCTTTGGACCAGAAGTAGAGGTCTCTATGTACGTCGAAGTTTCACATTCTTCATCTCCCGATGGAGTTGTCGACACTTGCGATCAATGCAAGCAAAAGTTTCGATGCCATGACTCTATGAAACTAAACCTCAAACCCTTCTTCTTATGAAAGTTCTTCTTCCCAATCAAATCCAAATAAGTTGAACCTAAAATGTTTGCGTTTGCCCCACTCAGTTTGTCCAACCATCACAAAAGCAACACTGAGTTCCTGCCTCTTCAGTCCCAGCCGAAATCACTTGGGCACTTCCCACCACTCGCCCAATCTCAACACGCGTCCGCCCTTCCTATCATGCGATGGCGACTCCTTGTCGTGGGCGACTTCTGCCTTTCCGTCCGAAGTTGGATTTGGCCCTCCGATGCTCCAGCAGACATCCCCTTTGAGCGCAGTCGCCTCTTCAACGAGGCGGAAGGAACCGGCAGAATTCGGGCGGAGCCTGCTGGGTTGGGGGATCTCATCCTTGCTGTTGGGGGAGATGTTCAGACTCACTGATTCTATACCAGCACCACCCGCTTTGGGGTGGATATTGGATGGATAAATACGTTACATTACCCAAGTATATTAGGGAGGTCTATATACCACCCGAACTGGGTGGTGATTGCTTGGGGGACCTCAAAATGGCCACAGAGTGACTTGGTCACTTTGCCAGTAGTTAAAGAAAAGAACGTTCAGGGGGCACACGCAGTTCCATCAATGGCGCACACATTCAGTTGGACTTTGATATGAACCTTTAAGGCCCCAGACCCATGTTGCAGCCTGGCCCGTATGAACCACCGTCATCCAAAATGGGATCTATAATTTCTCCATTTTTGTCCATCACTTGCAGATTGACTTTACGGAGCGCTTTGCGAACTACGAGAAGGCGGATACCTGGTTTCCCACCTGGGCTGCGGATGATAACTTGTACTCGCCCTGGACGGATGGCAGTGTGCAGGAGATCAAGTTGAGAGGATATACCAGGACCTTCTCAGTGACCTTTTTCGGAGTCTCATCCAGTGACCATTTGGCCATTTTGAGACCTCAAAAGGGGGTTATCAAAAGGTCACTGGGAAGATCCAGGTAAAGTCGACTGTTGATGAGCACCTACAGGATAAGACCTCCACGATAAGGCCTTAGAATGTGGAAAATGTTGGTGGCATGACTGACTCAATCACCATCAATCTTGAAACATGATGGTTCTGAACCTCTGGAGGTTGTGAATGAACAACTGCGTCAGACTCTGTGGAGACTCTTTGGACGCCATGCTGTCGGGCCGATTGCTCACCAACAACGTACATCCAGCTTCTTCAATTCGTGTCCTTTTTGGAGTCTCCGTTTTCGTGACCTGTTACAGGCCTGTTGGGGACCGAACTAACCAGAATATCAAGTTCGGTCACGAACTGAAGAACGGGGATACTGAAATATGTTAAATATGTATTAAATATGTTTGAACCAACATGAGACATGCTGGTTTGCCAGATCTGAAGCACCTGGGCCTAGTGGAACCTGAATTGTTCATGTGAACAAACCTCAATGAAATCAACAAGACTGCCTGCAGCTGGGTGAACTTAGTACACTTCAAAAAGACGCTTTGGGCGACCCCTCTATAGCTGACAGCTCAGAACAGGGCATCCTGCAGCTTTACACTCCGTTTGTATGCCATAGTTGCATACATTGGGGTGGTTTGAATGTACAGTAGGCATGTGCTATATTCCATATAGCTGGAGTGTTTGGGAAGGATACTACGAAGCAACTCGGTTCTCTCGAACACTCATCACCTGCAGACCTGCTTCACCCCTGCTCCTCGCACCGCGCAGCTCTGCGAGGAGCTGCGCTCCAGTAGCGCGTGCCGCGCGGATGGCTGCCTCTCCACCACGGGCTTTGCGACCATCGTGGGGGATGATCCGCTGACTCTCGGCAACATCCGTTGATGCTGGAAGCATCACCCTTGGGGAGGAATGTGATGGTGATGGTGAAACCAGCTTCACCATATGCCAAAAGGCAGAAGCATTAAGACTGAAAGGCCCACAATAGAGGGTGGGTTTCCCTGCAAAGTTCCAGAAAAAGACTGGCCCACAGTCAGGATAGTTTCCAGAGAAAGCTAGGGTCAAATAACAACCAACCGTCATTTATGCGTGCGTAATTCAACATACTTAATTCTTCCAGGTCTCAAGTCTAAAACTGTTGCTATTTTTACAACTTAACTAAGGTGCTGTATGACACTTCTGGATACACCCAGTGTGATGCCTTTCAGCAAGACGTCAAGTTGTACACCGTGTTGGAAACCTTACAGCGAGATGTCCAAGGCATTGTGAGATGTTGGTAGTTAGGTTTATCCCCAACCAACTGATCACGACTTTGCCACACTTGTTTCTTCTTCCACGATCTCTTCAGGAATCTCAGCATCCAGAAGGTCGGCGTGACGAAGGCCTCCCCCTCGCCCTATCATGGAAGGCACCTTCGGTCCGGCCTTGCAGTTGCTCCGGTGCTGGTTGACTTGAGGGTTTATGGCTCCAACTACCTGTGAATGGGTGCGACGTGCCACAGGGGGTCTGTCCCTACCTTCGGAGGTGGGGCCAGGAGTTTTTTCGGAGCCCTAGTGGTATGAATGAGTTCCATGTCCTGACACAAAGGCGGTGGAAAGTTCGGGCAACCCGAAGGTTCAGCCATGGCAGCTATGGGTCTTTGAGTGCCAGTCCCATCCCACCTGGAATCATCGACCAGAAGGTGCATGCTCGTGAGTACCTATCCAGAAGTTCAGTGGATGACGTGCAAAACGTTCTGTTGGAGGATTGGGACACCCAACTAAATATGAGCAGATATGAAAAACATGAGAACGGTCAGAGGGAGTCAGAGTAGCTCTTGCTGCTTTTCTTTTTGGGACCTCACTGTCGCTGGATGAGAGCGCTTCGCGGCACTGGCACTTACATCCAGATGCTCATGGAAGAGTCAGACCAGCATCCTTCAAGAGATTAGGACAAAAGCATGTAAGACCACTTAGGATATTGATATCATATCATGTTCGCATCGTTTTCACATTCAAGAGATTCTCATTTTTGGAATCAACAGCGTGAAGGAGACACTCCCTGACCATGAAACTCCGACTGCCAAATCGGTGGTGATTTCCACTTCCGATATCAGGGACTGTACTCTCCCTGCAACTAACATGGAATTGGACAACCCCGGTTTGTAGAGGAAATGGTCTTCCAAGGGTCAATTTTGCACTTCCATGTTAGTTCTAGGGACTGTAGTTCTTTTGGGGTTCCTTGGCGCATCGTTTTGGCACTCGTTGTTTTCGTCCCCTGAGAGAGGTACCCCTGTGGCTCCTTGCATGTCGATGGCGTTTGGTTTTATGGCACCTATGCCCTGGACAATGAGAACCATCAGCCTGGGCAAGATGCAGCAGGACGAGCTCGGTGCAGGTGCTCGGTGGCCGTCTTCGGCTCGGGAATTGGCTCGTTGGGGTCGTGCTGAAGAACACAGATGGACCAAATCTTGGGCTGTTTGGCCTATTATGGCCTATTCCAGTTGCATATCTTGGGCTGTTTGGCTGTTTGGCCTATTCCAGTTGCCTTTTCTTATAGTTTGCAGATGCTGTAGGGTCCCCATGCCTTTTACGTCAGTCCTTTGTTCGACTGATGGTCCGCGACCCAAGGAAGTCCGTCAACGTCTGCCTGGTCTTCACCGAACTTCTAGGGGGATTTGGGGGGAAAAGCCCACTCAACAGTGTAGCACCCTATAATATAGAGCTCCCAAGTACCTCAGAAGGTATTTGGACCCTCCCAAACTCTCCCAAACACCTCAAGTTTCGTGATGTTCTTGGCCGACTCAAGGGAGTCAACATCGATTTGGTGCCCGAACGGGGGGTCGGTGCCCCCTTGTTCTGGTGCGTTGATGCGCCATTGCGCAGGATACTGCGGGAATTGGTGCATTCAGGGCCCCTTCATCGGCTTCAGATGGAGCAAGGATCATGGCCAGACCTGGCACGAGCCCAGGACCTTCCTGCGAGGCCCAAGAGACTTGCGGACAACCATGGGGTCGTGACACGTCTGGGCTTGATTGCTTTGCTCGAAGAAGCAGATCTAACTTGATCTAACTTGAAACAGTCAATGCTTGACTGTGACTGCTTGAAACCTGGCAGTCAGGTGAGAGGCGATTCATATGTGGCAGTGGCGATTCATACGTACTTGTTTCATCTCTCTTCTTTTTATCAACAGCAGCTTTAAGAGAGGAGGATGTTTCTTGGCTAGGTGCCATTTTAACAGAACTGATGCTTCATGCGTTGCTTCTTCGCCGGGCGAGGCTGGAACGACACGGTCTTTGGAGAGAGCGCACCCTCCAACCACAGCAAGGTGAAGTTTGGAGCACCGCATGTGGTGGATTTGGGGACGCTTTTTCGGATCTGAGTGATGTTTTTCTCGACCGGCCGTCGCGAATGGGTTAGCCCTCAAGAAACATCACCAGCTAGGAGTTTCCCAGACCGCCCAAAGGGTGGTTTAGAGAACCCCTTGGAATATTGTATTTTTTTCCATCCAATAACCACCCTTTGGGTGGTGCTGGTTCATGTCTCTTTTCTCCGTGTGTTTCTTAAGTCTATAGACAAGTGAGTGGGCGGTACCCCGGTGTTGTTGTTCTTTATCCATCCCATGTTCAGATTTCGAAGACGGAACTGGAAAAGAGTTTGTGGAGTTTCGAAACTTTTAGAACGTGCCTTCTTTTGAAGAGGTTCCAGAGGGATGATAGGGATGGATGTTCTCATCCACTCAGTGAGTGAGTCTTTCCGAAGGTTTTTTGGAAGGAACACCTTGGGAGTTGAGCCAACTGTTCTCAAAAGCTGAAACTAGATGCGGACATGGGACTGGAAGATTAGCCGATCAGGCTGTTTTTGGTGCTGTTTCTGAGATGATTGAAGGGGTCAAATGTAAATCTTCCAATCCCATGGACTAGAATGGACTAGAGATGATTGAATTCCCCAACCCCTTGCTAGTGGTCTCATTTTCCAGGTTCCACTGGGTGAGTTCCACTAGGTGACTCTGTGGTGTCCTTTTGCGTGGCCTGGCACAGAATCTAGGAAAGCCTTACAGTATCGACCCGTTGGGGATGAAGAGAAGATGATGCGCCTTGGTGGATTTGGTGGGAGACGTGCCGATCAAAGAGGGGGCCTTTGTTTAGTTCAATCTGTATATATCCAATTATCAAGTACGCTGTAGTGATTTGGAATTAAACTTGTAGAACATTTGTATATATGAACTTTTCCTATATGAAGAGGCTCTAAAGGGGCTTTGACTATGTTTGACTTATCAAGATTCTACATGGAGCTGCTGGTGCCTAAAGAGAACTCCCCCAGGACCTCAGTGTTTCCCCGTCTCAACCAGAAACACTTCTGGATGGAACTCCACAGGCAAAGGATCTCAAGCGCCAGCATCTTAGTGGAAGAACAAGCCATAGTGGAACAGCATATTCCTGGACCTTCAAGGGGTGTCCAATGGAGGTCCCTTAGTAGTGTAGGGGCTTCCATTGGTGACCCCTTTGAAGGTGCTGGTTGGTTTCTGGTTGTTTGTTATTCCGGGGGTCAGCTCCATGAACGTGAGCCGGTCCCTACCAGCGCACGCCGGCCCAAACCGCCGAAACCGCCGATTTCTGGCGAGGTATGTGATCGGGCACGGGGCGTCGTCGCGCTTCTCGCCCACGTCCTGGATGCAGGGTTCCCTGGTTTTGCTTATAAGGCTATTTTTAATTTTCCCTATGGGTAAATCCCCTTGGATCTTCATGGTGAATATGTTTTTTCCCGTTCCTGGACAGCAAATCCAAGGTTCGGAAATCTATTTGGCCAGAGTGAAGCCTGAGATCGCCTTGGTGAACGAGAAGCGCCTTGGAAATGGGCTTGTTTGCCAGTATATTGGCATTTCCGTGGATTCATGGTTCGAAGATTGGGAGTTTCCAAAGAACCACCACCGCCGCCGCCGCCGCCGCCACCACCACCACCACCATCGAAACCACCAGCTTTTCATGTAAACCATCACTCTGTTTTTGCATGTCTTTGCCAATGTATCAATTCATTCACTTTGACTGTAGTGGAGTTAACACATCGCCTGGTTGCACTGCCAGGGGTCTTTTTTCAAGAGGTTTGTTTCACGGTTTAAACCGGTTTAACGATTGGCCCACCACCTTCACAGTGACGAGACGTTGTGAATAAATATACAGCCAAAAGTATGAAGAGAAATCAGACTGATCCTCATTTGATCCATCTCAATCTCAAAACGAAGAGGTCCGCATGGGAGTTCTACGGCGATGGCACCTGGCATCGGGGCGACGTGGCGGCGGCGAAAGCCTTGATCTCCTGGGGCAATCGCACGGGCGTAACCACCATGACCCCGCGTGGGTGGATGCGTGGGCGAAACAGCGGGTGGACGCCGCGAGTCGAAGACGCGCCGAGAAAGGCGGTTTTTGGAGGGGCGGGCTGCAAAAGTGGGTTTGGGACGAGGACATGTGAAATTCGATAGGGAAAGGTGGGCAGGGAAAGGTGGGCTTTGGAGGGCAACCTCCCGGAACCATGTCATGTGTTGGTTGATGTTTTTGGTTACTTTTATGTAAAGATGTCCCAGTCGACCTGAACAAAAACAGTACTGCAGCTGGTAGATTCTTCGACGTGAAGACCCACCGGCCCTTGGCCTTGGCTGCTATGGGCCACCCGGAGGGTCTGACTGAGCGACTGAGCCATATGCAGCCGGTGGTGCTTCGTCAAATTCATGTCTTTATTCAATTGACTTGTGCTTCGGACATGGCACATGAACCATTTGACGGCCTCCAGTCAGTGGGGAGTCGGTTCCCTACAGGAGTCATCGCACCGGCCGGTGGGGAGGTTTTGTTCGATCGAAGGCTGAAGACATCACGACCCGAACGACCCGAGGAAGTCACGATAACCAGGATCACCCTGGACCGGGGTGTGGCTCGACTACGCCGACAGGGCACGCACACAGACAGGAAGTGCTAGGTATGTTGGTTCAAAACCAGCAGTTGTGAGTGTCAAAACCCTAGCGAACGGGTGGGGTCGATTCTGATCCAACTGGGTTGGTTATAATTCTGTGAACATCTACTCACTGGGCTCACTAGAGAGATCGACGGTGCTGCTTTGGATGCCAAGGCCAAGGTGGTTTTCCCCCCTGTTGTTCGTTGGCTCAAAGAAAATGGACCATTCGAAGATGCTCGGCGCACCGTGTGCAGGACCTACATTGAGAAAGTCAAGAGATACTTTGTTTCTCGCATGCAGCATGGATCCACCTTCAGAAGCTGGGGGCACTGCTGTGGGCAAAGCTGGGAGGCATGTTTGGGCCGTTTTCTCCAGTGAGAAGAACCATCTAGTTTTCAGGCATTAGCCACGCAATGCCACACAGGGGGTTGAGATAAAATTCCCGATTCACAAGTTTGAATAAATATCCCAAAGGTTTACGTTACTTGATCCACTGGGTTTCATGAGTGTTCTGGGATGGGTTTGGTTCGCTTCTTCCGAAGGATATTTTCTTAAAGGAACCTTTGGTGCTCCCAAGCAGGAACTATACCAGGACCTTCCAAGAGGTGTCTATAAATAGCCTCTTAGTGATTCGGGATGTCCAAAAACCACCGAACTTGGAAGGTCCTGGTTATGGATGTCCTGAGATCAAACACACCTCCCAGATCCTTGAAGTCGCGGTGTGATTCCGCCCACCAGTGACTCGGTTGCTGGTCCGGACGAACATCCTTCCCACCACGCGGCACCACGCGGGCTGCCTGGGCCCAGGTGTGTGTTTCGACACCGAGCTACAGTCCATTCACGGAGCGGCAATTTGATACATACCTGCTGGAAAGTGAGCACATCACGGGGCCCTTCAGATATATTAGCCACTTGGCTGCTTGAAAAGACCTGGGTGGTCCTCTAGATTCTAGATCATTTCTGGCGGGCAGATGCGGGAGGGGAAGAAGGGCTCCAGATTCTTGGGCCAAGAACCTTTGGGATAGATCCATTTGAGATATCTTCCCTAGAAGTCCAAAGACTAATTATATATTATGTTCCCTTTCTGAAGCGAAGGAACTTCCCTTTCAGGTCCCCTGAAGACTGTTTTTGTTGAGAGTCCTTGACTCCCAGGGTCTTGCAGATATCCATGGAGGATACATGCCAGGGCCATCCTGTTTGGGTGTCCAATGGACTACCCTACACTCCGAGGGATTCACGTACATAACACACACCTAGCACTTTCAGTGGTTGGCCATGTTGTTTAGACTTTGGCACAATTCCAGTGTATCCAAGTCACAGCTCCTGTCATTTTGATTCCTGCGTTTTCCTGCTCTGTGCATTGCAAAACTGTACCATGGAGAACTAGACTCAACAACAGCACCCAAGAGCAAATGAGTGTCCAGGGGCCTCAACGACACCAATTTGTTTCTACTTGGGGTGCTTTTAATTGCTCAGTGGGAACTGACATGTTGAAGAAACTTCTTCACAGATGTCCATCAAATCGAAGACTTAGGGCTGGGGGCTGGGGCCTTCATGTTGGATTACCCATTCGATCAACCAAAAGGCTATGACAATCTATGACCGATGTTGCAAAAAAATAAGTTTCGTCGCGGAAAACTGCCAAGCGCGTGGTCCACATTTGGTCGACTAGGCTACTTGAGGGAGTTTGGGCCAGAGGCCTACTTCGTGAACATTCCCAGCAAATTTGTGGGTGACTTTGATCCTAAGGACGTCTGAAACTGAGCGGGGAGAGTTTAGAGATTCTGGGATGGTGAGTCAGCCCCGTTTTCTGCGTTTATGAAGTTGTGAAAGAGCTTCATGATTTGTTTTGGTCCCTTAAACGTGAGATTCTTCTAAACAGCTATGTGGAAGCTGGATTTTGATCGACTTGCTTCACATGCCTTGCTCGGATCATACTGGCCAGGAGGGAACGTTGCGCCTTTTCCTCTCTTATTCGGCAAATTTTGCTTACAAGAAGACCTCCCCGAAACCACCTGGCAGCGGCTACCACTGGACCTTACAAGAAGCTTGGAATGAGGTGTTTGTTTTGTTCCGAAGCGCCAAGACGACGGCCAGGTGTGCCGGTGTGTAAGAGTTCATGACGACTGTGACACGGTGGAAATGACTGTTTGATTTTGCTTTTGCCGATCAGGTGATATGCTTGCTTTCCCCCGAACTGGCAAATTCCTCTTCGGAGTATATCTTTGTTTCTATATAGCTTTTTAAGCGCATCCAATGTCACACTGACTCTAGCTATTTTATAGATGTGCCGTCCCTTCCATGGCGTTTGGAGGTTGGAATTTGAAGGTTGGACACTGCTGTCTCAGGCGAACAGGCGGCTTGACATGGCGCAAAACATGGCGGGCAGTAGTAGCTGCAATATAACAGCATGCTACCATGCTACCAATCCCGGAACAAGATAGAATGAAACTCCTATTTGCACCTGTTCTGATTTGCTGCAACTGCATGTTAGTTTTTGATACTGTGGAGAGATGTAGAGGACCCATCCTCAACTCATATATCACGTGTTTATTTCATCCAAACATGAGAGACATATTTAAGGTATCTAAGACAGACTACCTGCAAGGTGGTTCCTGGCCGTATTGGGGCTTTGATGTGATTCATGACATACGGCGGGAATTTGTTTGTATTGTTGCAAGAGAGTCCTGGCTTTGCTTAAGGTGATGTTTTATGTGTTCCCTATTGGTCAATCCCCTTCTGTTGATGTTGTCCAGGTTCCTTAAGCAAAACCAAGGAGCGTTTGACACGTCATGTTTGGTTGATATCGATACCAAACGAAGGATCATATTGCGATCTTCATTCAAACCCCCACTGAACCCAACTTTTATGCCTATATTTGACCGTACGGGTGATTTTTCTCGAAGTGGTGCAAACTCTCTGTGAATTCTTGCTTTCACAGGGGAGCTCCCAGGAATTTTCAGACACCTATTTTTGGGTGGGTCTGAGACGGTGCGGTCGCTGCTCTCCGAGGAAGTGATCCTAAGAAGGTCTGCCACCTGGAGCACCGTCGTTTGAAGCACCGAACACGAAAAGGGACCGCCGCGGGGGAGCCGGGCTTGCGCGGGGAGCCGCGTCGACCGGCCTGAGAGGAGGACGACTCTTGCTGAGCGATCCTGGATGTCCCATGGTGTCCTTGCGGAGCGATCCTGCACTCGTCTTCTAGGGATATGTAGGGATCATTGGGAGACCCGGAGACTGTGACACCGGTCCGTAGACCCCCGTCTAGCATGGCAAACACCAGGTGATGGTGAATCCTTGGGGTGGGGTGATTGAACATCACAACGCCTTCGGATTAGCCATCACTGGTGTTTGTTGAATCCTAGGGATTGGATGGGGTGGCTTTGATACGTCCCGCCTTCGGTACACAGGCTTCGTAGGAGTCGCTGACACCGCGAGACGACACGAGGACACGCCGCAGAGATGCCTGTATAGATGCCTGTCAGTGTGCTGAGGAGATCCACTGGGCGAAGTAGGCACTGAGTTCTAGGAATTCACCCATACAGTCAGACGAACTGAACAAACAAATAAAAAAACAAGGCAAATGAATGGATTCCGGTCACATGTGAATGGTTTTTGGGTCCAATCTGTCACCCGCCACCAAGCCAAGCCCAGCCAGATCGGGATCTGGTGGAATCGTGATTGACTGGTTGTCCCCCGACCTGAAGCATGGGCTGCTGGATGTTCTTCATAGTGTTCTTCAAGGACGAGCCCACCTATAGACCGCCCTATTTACATGAACGGCAGTGGAGTTCACCGCCTGTTTGTAGAGAAAACTTATCATCCAAGGCTGGGCCATTTTCCACTCCCATGTATTTCCAGGGAGAGTATATGACATTAAGTCTATTAATGTGTGTAACTCACTCAGCCTGGCAAAGCGCTTGGAACAGAGTGGACTAAATTTTGAGTTCTATAGAAGATCATCCATTTATAAAAGATTTCGAACTAATTATGTTGACAAAAGGTGGTTGACATCGTTGGCATGGGTTCTTTTGAGTGGTTGACAGCGATAGTACCTGAGGATATGAGCACAGAGTGCTCACAGAGAGTAGTCTCATTCCTGTCCCTCAGGAGTTCCAAACTGCGCAGCCAAACCCAGGAGTTCCGTGGATGACCCGACCTCAAAAAGCTTCGTTGGTTGGATTGGGGAACGCCCCTTCGATCGGATGGATTCACCAGTCTAGGGAGTCACATGAACATCAAGGGGTGCCTGGTTCACAGTCAGTGATCGAACTTGATCACCTGGTTCGGTTCACAGTCAGCCTCCAATAGGGTCACGATATTCGGAACCTTCAAGTTCGGTCACGAACTGAAGAAGCGCAGCTGGTTTTTCTCTCCCGTGGTCCGTGGACGTGTGGAACCGCACTTCCTACGTCCCTCCGAACTACTCTGGGTGGTGGTTTGAGATATGTACCAGGACCCTCCTGTCGCGGTGCCCTGTCTGGAAGCCTAGTGGGGTAGTGTGGGGTAGTCCAGCCAGGACACCTACAACCTTGACTTGGGATGAGTTGAAACCAACCAGTATTGGTTTAGCTCGTGCTCCCAGCAGCCTGGAGCTCGAGCTCGCCAGGTGGAGAAGCTTGAATGGAAGGCAGCGGCAGCGGAGCGGGGGCCGCGGATGATGTGGATGGACCCCTCAACTTGAAATGGATCAAATCCCTTACCCAGACACTCCATGGGACTGCCATATATGCCGCCCCATTGACCCCGTTTCAACCACCCCTGGCCGTTTCTCGGCAGTTCTATGGCAGTCCCATGGGTCGTGTTTGGGTTAGGAAGCAAGAGATGGCCCTGGCCGCTACTTGGCGGCCAAACCGATTCACCGAAGATGACCTGCCAAGCAGATACGGGTGTTTCTTCGCTTTGCCAGCGACCAGAAGCGGAATGAAGAAATCCAATGCACAGAGTGCGACATAGGTCCAATCAGTTTCGAGGCGGATATTGTGACGATATAACGGAGCGACTGCTTGTCAGAAGGGTCGTAGTGGTGAACACACATTGTCTTCTGGTTGACACATGTTGAAGCCTTACCCAGATGCTCCATGTAGAGCATACATGTATGTATGCCTATCAGTTGGGGTGCTTACATTGGGGGTCAATGTAGGTATTATATGCCAGTCCCATTAGTCCTGTATGGGTTATGGATTCACACCCCCTCTGAGAAGCTGGAGCCGATCCCCAAGGGCATCGACTCGACTCGTCAAAAACGCCTCGGACCATGTCCACGGCGAGCTCCGTGATGGGTCTGATGGGTCTGTGTAGCAGCTCGGCTCTTCGCATCGAGCTCAGGGAAGGAGCGAATTCTCAGACTGGGTTCCACCACCATCCGGGAGACGGCAGTGGAGACAGGGTGATCTTGATGTTCATTTGGCCAAAACCGGGTGAATCATGGTGAATCCCCTTTTGGATCCTGGAACATATGTTTTTTCTTGGTTCCTGAAGCACCAAAACAAGCCAATACTACACCGTCACCGGGTGGCATGGCCAAGCCCTACTAGTGTTGGGCCCTGGGGGCTGGGCCTGCCGTGTTTTTTGGAGGAAAAACACACTCGGATCGTTCGCCGTTGGCGTTGTGGTTCTTGGTTTCGGTATTGGTATCCAACAGAGGTTGAAGGATTTTTATAACCCTAGTTCGCCTATCCCAGTTGGCTACCCCAGTCCAGGTCCTAGTTCAGGTCACTGGCTACCTCTCTTGGTCGTTGGATGTTGGATGTGAGATGTTTCTTCCGCGTTAGACCAACGGCATGGATATCCCAAACCATGTTACGAGTGCAGCTTGCAGGTTCGCTCCACCTCAGAGCAGCATGCACAGGACGAGGGTACTGGGAACTTGATTGTGAAGCTCCTTCCAACATCTGCCAAATCTATAGTCTACAGGGCCCAGCAAGTCCAAAGGACGGGTTAACCTGGTGCGTTACTAAAGAACTAGTTAAACTATGTTAAACTTAAACTGGTGCGTTGACCCACTGGGCGGGGGGGTACATGTGGGATCGGTCAAAAGCTACAACGACCGGTTGTATAGGTTTCAGTCTCAACTTGCAAATGTCGTTGGGATTGGCCATCAACATCGTAGGAGTCAATCGCTCTGATTCACGCGGAGCGCCCTTGAAGCCAGTTGTGGTGATGGAGGAATCAGATGTGAAATGAAATCGGTGACGAGTGTACCAGGTCCTTCAGGACCTGTGACCGCACTCAATCCCCTTGTTTCGGCCACGAGTCCGAAGGCAAGTGCGGTCACTAGATGGGGACAAGTTGGGTCACAGGTCATGAGGAAGCTGGAAGCTGGGGAGTAGCCGCAAATTGCAGGATATGTTACCTTTGATTTCCAAGGATGTTTGACATAGTAAAACACCAGATGTTCCAAGCAACAAGACAGACCATGAACCTGGAAGGCACATTTTGGGGAAGCAGTAGCCTTTGGGATACTCATTGTTTGGGATGCTTTTGCTATGGCCCTAGGGCAACCAGTGTTAAAGTACAGACCATACGGTTTTGTGGAAAACAATCACCATTACTTGTCCTCGCCGTACAGGCACTATTTCATGCTTATTGGAGACATTTTTGGGGGGGAGGATTCTTGGATCTTCTGGTACGTTTGTATACTGTATTTTACCTAGGGTCCGTAGCCATTTTGGCTGGAGTTCCCGCCAGCATGGCTTTACCATGCTTTCATCAGTGGATCCCTTGCCGGCTTTTTTGGTTGCCTGAAAAAGTCAGAGTTTAATTGGGTGTGGCCGGCAACTGAGGACACACGTGGGGAAAACGCGGGTGTTTTTTGGGAGACTCCCAAAGTGGCTGGCCATGCGAGGTCCCCAAGAGACGCCCCAGAGTTCCCCCTGGAAACGAACTTGAAGCAAGCAGGTTCTGAAAGGAACTGTCCGATCTCTTTTCGTGCTGAGCTGGGTCCGGGAGTCTTGTGTGCATCTTTGGTCAGTTAGTCCAAGTCGCAGGAGATGCAGCAGAAAGAGCTGGAGCTTGCCAAGCTGCGTCAGGAAATCCAGGCGCAGGCGAGCAGCAGGGAATGGCTGCACTGCCTACCCAGTCAGTCAGTGGGTGACCTTTGACCTTTTTGGGGGGCATTGGGACTATGAATAATGGAACAATTGGAAAACCTTTCTGATCCAGGCAATCTGAGGGAGTCAGACTAGGTGTTTTCAGGGGCTGCGGGCTGAAAAACCTGCCACGACTGTGCGGCCACGGCCCGACGGCGATCGGATCGCCACTCGTTCAGCTTGTCCCCCATCGAAGTGCTGCAGATTTGTTGTGCTGGAGCGTGGCAGTGATCATGTGAACCCACCAGATTTTGGACACGCTCCGTTCTGCGTCGCACGCGTCGACTTTTCGGGGTTACATAAGAAGCAGTTCTTAGGTGGGAATTCCTATATACACGGCCACTCATGATTTCTTCCTTAAAACATGGTTGACCTGATGTTGTAGTCCGAAATTTGTGACTAAAACATCTCGGTTGTTCGGGATTCAGACTATTCACCAGGGAGCTAAGGAGCAGGCAGTATCCACCTGGGGGAGATGCAGTGAGGCTGTGGAATCACAGGGAGGCAACCTGTTTGGACATCCATGGACATCCTTTGACAAGTAATTAGGTGGGTTTTGACAGAAAACACACGACACATGATTTAAGAGGGGTTCTGGGAGCTTGACAGCTTGAGATGAATTGGCGGAGCTCTCCAGAGCGTTTTTTGATTTTGAGGGAGATCTGCTCAGCAAAGTTTCAGCAGCTCGTGGCTGCTTTCTAATACACCAAATCTCACCTCAGATCCACTTGGCCCGGTCATCTCAGAATTGGTCCCCGAAGGATCAAACCTATACAGCCAGATGGTTTCTTGGTTTCATTCTTTATGTTTTGGACGCGGGTTTACAGTGAATCTTGTACCCTTCAACCGTGTTAAGCACAGCCCCGTGGAGTTGAACTCTAAACCCACGGCGCCAGGCGAAGTTGCCCGTCCAGGCGTGCTGGCAGAGCGTGGCAGGACAAATTTGGCCTTGAACATCAGCTGTGCAGATGTTCTTGCGTCAATCTAACATCTTCAATCTATTTCCATTGCACCGAGTTCCGGTGTTTTAAGAACGCACCACCCAGTTTCGCTTGACACGGTGCCAACTCCACCAGTCCTCTTTGGTGCGGGTCGGACAGCGCCGGACACGGGAGCCCGCGGCCGCGGCAGCGCCGGACACGCATGGCTCGAAGGACTCG